ACTTACATATACAAAAATATATATAATGATAATATATTAAAATATCCAAACCAGCAATTTTTTAAAAAAAAATCGCAAGACATCATATAATGCTTGAGCTTTTCGCTCGTTAAATTCGGCAAAGCTTCTAAATCTCTCTACAGTTTTAAAATAGTGCAAATATCAAATACAAATATTGATTTGTTCAATTTTTGACTCTTCTTTAGCTTCATCTTCAATCAAACTAAATAATTGGCTCCCAAAATTAGCTTTATTTCACTATCAATTGAAATACAAAATCAGATGTATCTTAAGTATATAATTTTGTATATCATATCGACGCTTCAGTTCAAGACTGCAATAACTCAAATTATGAAACTACTGGTTCTAGAATGAATTAAACGACCTCTAGAGGTGAATAATGCAACTAATAGTTATTGTGTTATAGAATCCAAATCGTTTTAATTTTGCAAATAATAACACGTAGATAACTCAATTCTGCATTTTTGTGAATTATTGCTGTCTTGAACATTGGCGACAATATTTTGTATACTTGATTTTAATTTAAAATTGTTTTTAACATTTTCATTTTCATTGGAAAAAATGAATTTTTTATTTGTATTGCGCTGATTGAATGTTTATATGTTTCAATAATAAAAGTACACAATTTTACGATACTGAAAATATTTTATCTTAGGAGCCAAGCACAGGCAATATAACTTACTCGGTGCATCCGTACTGGCTCCCGACGAGAAAGGTTTCGCTTAAAACGTAATTTAAACAATTTCTATATAAATACTTCTAACGCGATTTCGACCGAAACGATCAAAAAAATCAATCACCTTTAAAACCTACATTCTAATTTTAAATCCAATCTCATGCAACTGTACACTTATCAGAGCATCACGATCTCTAATGCTTGCGCGTGTTATGTGTCGTCCCTACGCGACTCGTACGTGATCAATATCTAATCGATACCTGACAGTAATAAGTGCTTCAAACAGGTGCATATAGGTTTACGTTATAAGTACAGTCGATAGTAATTTTGATGTTTATATACTTCGGGGGTGGCCAACTTGCGGCTCGCTTGCCTCATGTAACTCTCGTCATTGTCAGATGCGGTTCGCGTATTATTTATAAAATTAAAATAAAATTATCATGTTATTATTATTTTAGCTATAAGTTTATAAAAAATTATGAAATTATTTAAAAATGATCTATAAACATTTTGGCTCTTGGAATTATTGTACTTAACCGTTTGCACACGAACCCATTCATGTTGGCCACCCCTGATATATTTTATACAAACATATACATTAAACGTTAACATTTCATATTATATCTCATTACGATTTAATTTACTTTTGTTGTTGTTACAATTCTTTACTAACAGCAGTGAACTAAAAGCGGCGGCTTGCAATACGGTCGACGGCTAAGGTTTACGAAGTCACAGACAAAGTTGTTGAAAGTTTTTGACCCGTAGGTTTAATACTCATCATTTATGTAGGATTTTTCTACGAGAATAAACTTCGATTCCCTTCGAACCTCCGACAACTACAAAATGTCAACATATATGAATTAGCTATTTAAAAAAAATTATAATTTATTATTCTAGCAAGAACTGTCAATATTGAATTCCTTGTAAATATACCGCTAAAAAAACCTTAACGAGCATACAATATACTGAATTATATCATGTATTACAAAAAAAAGAACGTAACACAATATTTATTCAACTAGAAGATTTTTAAAAATTTAATTTTTCAATATTTTATATTATAATGGAACCTTTAAATGTAAATTAATGTACGCATCATTTTTAAAAATGACACATTGTTAAATTTTAAATATTTCGTACAACTAAAACTTATACACCTTGTAATATGCATATATTATTGAGAAATAATAATACGCATATTCCTGAGTCGTATAAGGAAAAACGTACTATTGCATAAATCTTAATGGGCGCCACGCGCGAATTTCAAACAACCACAACAACATCATCATGCGAATAAGACAATCAAGGCCAAGGGCAACCAAGTGATGAAACATCACTTGGATATGAAGACCAAGACCAAGGACAGCCACGTGTCGAAAACAACACAATTAAAACAGAATCAACAGAGTATATAAAGGCTCCGTTTCACCACCAACGGCAGACGTGTCCAGCTATCAGACTAAGCCCTTCCGAGTTGCGTCTCGATATTGTTAGTGCACGAATTTATAATTTATATTTTTGTATCTATGTCTGTGTTTATTAAAGTATTTACAAGTGTTTGAAATAATTGTTTAATCAAATTTATCCCGATCCAACAACATCATTACGATAGGTACCTGTTTTTATTGGGTACCACGTAACAACCTAGTACTAGTTAACTATTTAATAAACCAAATTATATAAAATAAAATAAATTAATAATTATCAAACGGAATAGGTAAATTCAAATATATGAAATGCTAACCATTTTTATACTTAAATATATTACATAAAATATTCTTATCATGAAGTACATTATAATTTAACTATAATAGAAATTCAATAACAATATATTCGTCTAAAAATCGTTATACTTAATAATACTATATTTTACCGTACTCCTAAATATAATTAAGTTGTAATATTTTAACAAAACAAATCAGTCTCTTCTGTCATTTAAATCGCACGGTTTTTTATTTAAAAAATAGTATTAAATCTTTATATTTTTTGTTTACCATATGGTTTCACCGATATTTATATTCTAGTACTGAAAATGTCAGTAACGAATAGAAGGTTTAGGTTAGGAAATCGCAGTTTCATGAATCGGATTTTCTACACAATTTATTTTTAAAAATATCGTGGTTTCAATGGTAAATTGTCAAAACTAATAGCAACCAATTATCATTGTTATTATTGTTTATATTTTATTAATTATACCTGTGAGCTTTTTTATATCATTCGTATTACACATCAATGTGGATTTTATCGTTACGATTTTTCGTACAACTAATAATTGTGATTTCAGATTTATCTCCTTGAGTTAGTTATTTTATCATAACTATGGGTTGTTCATATTATACTGGGCATCAATTGATCATCATGGATACCTCCAAAGAATTGGAAAAATTCATCAAAAAAAGTTTAAAACAGTTGCGTCGTACCAAAGATCCGAGTTCCTTTAAAACAATGTTAAAACGTATGAATGAAGTCGTTCAAGAACTGAACAGTGGAAAACGACGGCCAAATAATGCTACCAAAATATTTGATGTACTTACCGTTCTCTTCTCAAAAGAATTAGGTAGTGAACAAACAGAAGTATGACGATAAATGAGAAAAATGTATTTACAGTTTAATTTGTTTTAATTCTACCGAATTCTACAGATGATTGTTGATGACAAATTTAGCAAGTCGAATTCTCCAGCAAGTTTATTACCAAATACGTCAAATTGCATACAAGAGGAGTATTCATACCAGTCGCCTACCAATTCATTGGAACAGGCTAATTCAAATTGAGCCATAAATATTGATTCAGATTCGGAAATTAAAATTGAAGATTTATATTCCTGTTGTATTTGCAATTATGTAGATAACACAAAATGATAGGCTTTGAATAAATATTAATTTTTTTTACAAAGAAAGTTTTGTATATATTGGGAACAGTCTGATACAATGCTCGAATTGTTATTCTATCTATCATGAAAATTACCAAATTCCACCAATAACGGACGTTATCTTGAATGACCTACGAATGGTTTATTACTGTAGTAATTGTGTACAGAGTGACTCGAGGAAAGTTGTAAGTTCATTTAATTAGAGATGCTGCTTATTAGTTTTCTTAAACCGTTTCGATTTTTGAAGAAATGTTCAGCAGAAAAGGGAAGTAAGAAAAGGTCTTTTAAAATCACTTCTGGAACAAAATCAAAGAAATCGTCTAGTAGACTTCTCATAGTTAGTTATTTAAAATGATATTTTTTAATTACAATATGTTATTACTAGGGAACGGATTTTAATTTAAATAAATATTTTTGTGTTGTTTTAATAACCGAAAGTTATTGATATATGTGTACGTTTCATTTCATTTTGAATAAACTGATGCTAATTTTATTTTAAATATTTTAGTATAACTAAATATTTTTAAATATTTTAAACATAAATAAATAATAATTAAACATTATACTAATCAATATACGTAATCTATATTATTGTAGAATTTCCGTTTTTATTTTAGTATTTTACAATGAACGAATATATATGATTAAGTCTGTACAATATCTTATCTAGGAAGTAGGTACAAATTTCAAAAAACTTGCAAAACAATTTAGTACTTATTTTCGCTAATTTTGGATTTTTAGTTGATACTATTTCAAAATTAGAAACCTTTATAATGGCATTAACCAAGAGCCTAGAAATAGTAAATAGTGCCATTAAAAAATTAAAATGCGTTTCTGGAGAAATTGGAGTTTTAACAAACTCTAAATTACAAAACATATTGGGAAAAACCCCAGAGTTAAAAGTTGTAAAGTCGATAGAGAAATACTATTAAACAAAACTCTAAAAACAATTTAGAAATAGAGTACAGTCCAAAAGAATTAACATGTATGATATATGCATCAATCACTTCCGTTGATGTGGAGAAATCATTTAGCCGTTATAAAATAATACTAAGATCGAATCGCCATAATTTAAAATTTGAAAATCTCAAATTATATTTCGTTTCAAATTGTTTCTCCGATAAAGAATATTCAGATGATTCAGAATAAACATTTTTATTTTTGAATTACGTATTATTTATAAATTATAGTGGATTAAATCTAATTTACAATTTCAATTTTTCAATATTAAAAATAAATATTTATGAAGTAATAAACAAATATATATTTAAATATTTTTAATTTTTTACTAAATTTAAATCCGTTATTACTAACATAACGATTTTTATTAGGTATTAAAAGAAGTCCCAGCAAATCAGAATCATCTTCTACCAAATGCAGTTCTAACCAATACATACCTACTCATGTGATGTCTGTTGTGGAAAAAGTGCTTGAAATTATTAAAAAAAAAAGCTACAAAAAAAAATCCTAGAAAAAAATAAAAATATAATAATTTTTGTATTTAGAAAATTTAAGAAAACGGTGTTAAAAATTTTTGAAAACATTTAAATAATACAAGTTAATTATTTTTTGATAGAATACGTTGTTTTTTAGCAAACTCCAAAATATTCTCTACCACAGATGAACTTTTGCCCCTGTAAACAGCATTCATATAAAGCTCTATTACCAGTATCTGTTTTTTCTCTAAAAACCTCTAATCTTTCTTTAGTATATCGTACCCAGAATGAATCCATGTCAATCGGCTATAAAGAAAAAATAATTTTAATTAAATTTGACGATAACAATAATTTACACAGTAAATAATTAATTCCCAGTATCTAAAAACTAGTTGTAGACTTGCTAAGCCAAAAATCTGCTTACGGATTTCTGCAGAAAAATAAAAACTTTCAACAACTGGTAATCAAGTCGTTATATTAAAAGTGGATGCAGACCCATGACCCATTTCAGAACTGTTTACAAATCCATGACGTTTATCCAAAAATGCAAACATATTACCTGAAGAATACAATTTTAAAAATGAAATCAATTAAATGCGTCAAATATTTATCCGGAATTTTTAGCATTTACTTGAATTAAACAAGTGTAAAAAACTTCCATAAGTATATAATAGTGCGGTGTTTTAAATATATATATGTATATATTTTATAGCAGTAAATTACTAACCGTCAGTAATTAAACTATCAATTTATTTATATTAATATGTGCATAACATTAAGTACATTTTCTTTTTTATAATTATAATTGTTAACATTATATGCTGTTGAACAAGTAAATATATTTTACTCGCAATTGTGAGGATATATAGTATGCCTACAATTATTAACTCCTAATAAAAAAACGGTTAATAATAAAAAGTAATAAAAAGTTTAAATTACCTTTTATTTATGTATTTTTTATATTTAAAAAAAAAAATCATTAATCTTTTACCTCTTAAATAATACAAATAAAAAATAATAAGGGAAAAAAGGTTAAGGTTTCAAAGGACATTATAGACAGAATGTAATCTTAAACACAATGCACATGCGGAGAAGTGTCACAGACAATGCATTTGTATACAATGAAAAGATGCATATGGGTGGGCTAAGAAATAATAATCGAAATGACCACATATAAGATACAAGTATATATGAATGACCACTGAAGGACTATATAATAATGGGTAGGTGTGGACTATGTATAAAATAATATCATACAGATAAATTTAATAAAATATGTATGTTACTAACAATCCGAGGCTGAGCACACTATAACGATCAGATAAAAGTCGACAAAAACCTGGGTTAACAAGAAAACTTCATATTTGAGAATCATATATCACTGACCACATTCTGAGTTGGATAGTTATGAAACAAATAATGATAAGGAGTTCATCACGAGATCGGAGTATATTAGGGAGTCCGGAACAGACCCATTTCCAAATGTGTTTTAATTCCACGTTCACGCTGGTTTGCGTAGTAAATAAATAAATTAGACTTGAGTATTATTTGAAATTAAATTTTAAAGTTAAGAATTTGTTTTATTTACAACATATCGAAATTTACATTGAATGAAAAGCTGTAAAATTGATTTCACTCTCGTTGCACTAACCGGCACGCAACACTGCCATGACTATAAAATACATTTCTAGTGCATAGGATCAGTATGATATTGAATTAGAATCCCAACAATTTTAATTAAAAAAAAATTATAATTATACACATATTTAAAAAATAAATATCAATTTTATTTCATTAAAATGTTTAAAACCCAACGAATTCAAAACCATAAAATAATACCTTACAAGATATTTTATTTTTAATTTTTTTTTGTCTTATTGATTCAAAAATTAAAAAAAAAAATTGTATATGTATTGTTAGCAATTCATTCTTTTATTTCGATTTATTAAAAAAAAAAAAAAAACCTGTACCCTGTGATATTTTAAAAATTATTTGATAACTCCGATCGTGGCATACGAGTATTAAGTCCGTTTTGGTCCTTTAAATAACGGACCATGCAGAGCATTAGAGGACGCTGGTACTACGTATCAACCTTTAAATCAATTTTAATAATAAAATGAAAATAAAATACTAAAAACAATATTATGGCTGAAAAAGTGTCGTAGTATGCAAACGGTTTCTATGATTAAAAGTAATATTAATAAGTAATAAGGAACGAGATTTTAGTTTTCCGTAAACCATCAACTTGATCATATGAGTTCTTTCAAACTTACGGCAAACAACATATACACATACCTTTCAGTGCACCGTTGTATCCGATCGACTCTTACAACCTTTCCGGCTGATACATCAGGAAGCACCAGAGCTACTCAAGTACACTACTACTATACGTACATAGCTAGTATACTCGAACACGAGACATTATGAATTCACTAAAATACGCATCGGTATGGGACTTGGGATTGCCGGCAACACCAGCGGACATGAGTCCCGAGAACGTGGACTATGGCCTCAGCGACATAGTAAGGGCCAGTTACCTGGAAAAACTGCGTGAAACACTAATGGCCAACATAAAAGAAAACACAGCGAGCGACCGCGGCTCGGCAGAAGACGGAACAATAGAAATGTTCGTGGAGAAGTGTTTGGGCGAGATGGAAAAGGAAGCGATAAGGAAGTGCATGGTAGCAGAGATATACTGCGATGCAATGCGTAAAACAGTACGTGAATATCTACTCTGTGACTCTCGAAATTTACCCATAGGTTGCACATGAAAAAGGAAAAGAAACCTCCCACTACTTTTGGCTGTTGCTGTACCCACAAAGTACCCCACGCGGATACACTTAAACCCAGGGACGTATTTAGACTTACTTCTAGGGAAGCGGGGCGACTCAAATTTATTTTAATTCAGGGTCAGAATTAACAAGTAAAATTGTTGGTAATATTTAAATCAGGTGGATCCTAAATATTTTTGATTTTTTTTTTATGTTAAATAAAAAAATATTACGCAAATGATTCACGATGGTTATGCTTTCTCATGGGTAAACAGATAGACGAAGTGAAAAGAGGTACCGGCACATCAACGATCCATGACCGGCTGATGACGACAGTAGAATCGGACAGTAGAAATCATGGAACCGCATCGACGATGGAGGTCGCTCTCGTTGATGTCGATGAAGGACAGCAGAACTGTGGCGACGCGTACCTACTTCAGTTCCCGACTCAGGCACAAGTCTTCGGTAATTATTTTTATGGCTTTATTGCAAATAAAACCTAACGTCTGTTACAGGCAACACATGATCGAGTGTACATTATTATGTTTCCTTAAAATAAACGTTTTATTTACGTTTGCAGATCAACAGGACGAACAGGCCATTATGACATTAGCCATTGAAAATTTCAACCGTACATCAATGTTTCCGGGAACGCCAACGGAAGCCGTTGTGGACCCGAATACCGTTCGACCCGAGATGATTGATATCGTTAAGAACGATAAAAATCTCAGCGCTATGGTGGCTACGACACACGAGTTCCGAAGGAACATGAGAAGACTACCCCAAGCCATGCGAGCCCGGATAGACCAAGAACTGAATCAGGTGTTTGGTAACCGGCATAATCTCGAGTATCGACCATTATTCCTGTCCCTAGAAGAGGAACGGATAATTTCCTACGAAAGGATTAAGCTGTTGGTCTCGGACCGCATGAGACAATATTTTGAGCACCGGCAAATCACCAAATCCTCCGACTATGAGATTCTC